CTGCCTGATAACTTATTATTAATATGGGTATTCTCCGATATTGCTAACAATAACTTCTCACGTGATGAAAAATATTTCCATTTCCTTTGTAACAGATGTAGGATACTGTTACAATTTCTGAAATTAGTAACTATGGTGCGTATTAACGCAATTAAATCATCGTGTCCTACATTTTAGTCTATACACTTAATACACGTTTCTTTTTTTTTTCATGAAACAAAAAAGAAACCAATTCTTTCTTTTGCAGACGTATTTTATCTATGAACATTATAAGGTTGGGAAAAAAAAACCATAAGAAATAAGGACAATAACGAATAACGACTATAAAATACGTATAACGAATACACTTGTCAAGCTTGTTAAGTAAGTATACGTCGAACACAACTAACTTTATAGAGTACAGAATATATTAGTCTCGTGACAAATATACACAAGAAAAGCCACTTCATAAAGTCTCAAAATTATAACCTTCTCTTCACACGATCTTCTGTTCTCTATAATTATTCATATGGACACCAATCCTCTTGATACTTCGTCTAATGTTGACGGAGATTCACCCGTAATACCCCCAGACTCACAAAAACCTCCTATCATTGAATCTCCCACAACGTCAATAGGTAGTTCGTCGACTCCCCTTAATAACAATAGTGATTCCTCTCAACAAGCAGTTTCAATGCCGACGCCAGCTCTTCAAAGACAGTCTAGGTCCGCTTTATCTTCGGTATGGTCCTCTACGCCAAACTCTTCTTCTCTTGCTACTACCTCTGTGAGGGCAACAGCTGCAGGCTCAAGGCAGGTTAGACGGAATTGGTGGGGCTATATTATAGAAAGCTTTAGATCTATTTCTCGAACCTCTAAGGTGTTGCTAATTATGTCTTTAGTGTTAGTTATTATTCAGGTTTGTTTAATTATATCTACAATTGTATATTTTATTGTATATTTTTTTTGTAAATAGTTTTTGTGTCTTAGCCGTTAAAGTTTCATTTAACAAGAAAATGACTCGCTGATTAGTGTACTTTGCAAAAAACAATCATTGTAGGTCGTTGTCACGATTACGATTCTTGTTATATCAGCGTTACGCAATAGGACGTGCGACAGACCTCTTAATGTATTTCTAATATTATACGTTATTCGAGTGATAGTCGCATGTCCAGTAAACGTGTATTTACATTTAAATCCCAGAGATCATAGACGTAATGGACAAAATCAAGATAATAATGAACCAGTAAGAAGAGACTCATGGGTTGATCGGTGAGTTCATTACCGGAATGTGTAGTCCGTTTTTATTAGGCATTCATTCTAAAAAAAAAAAATTTATATACATTATAACGGAAATTTTAGCTTCAAATCTTTTCTTGATCTTTTCGCTACTCTTTGGTTTATTATTGGCAATTATCTTCTTTTCACTACACAAAACTGTGCGGCAAAAGCACCTGAAATTTTCTTTCTCTCTTTAACATGGGTTATCCTTGGATATATCGTAATTACCATCCCTATATTATTGTGTCTCGCTGTTATTTTTTGTTTGCCATGCGTATTAGTTGCAATGAGGATTCTTCATGTTGGCGATGCTGTTGGAATTAGCGGTGCTAGTGATGACATAATTCAAAAAATTCCATTGGTAAAATATAAATCTCTTCGTGAAGATTCTGATGTATCAGAAAGTCAAACAACGGATACTGTTATATCAGTGTCACAGACAGAATCAAGTCATCAGCCAATATCTCCACCGTCACAAAAAAAACCTCGGTTTAATATATTTGGAAGCAGAACTAAAGATTCTGCTAATATTTCTCCAGCTGCACCACAAACACTTACTATCCCTAACCCTGATGACGCTGTCTGTTCTATCTGTCTTTCATCATATGAAGATGGTGATGAACTTCGAAATTTATGGTGTTCACATCATTTCCATAAAGATTGCGTTGATGAATGGCTATCATTAAATAGACGTTGTCCAATGTGTCGTATGGATGTCGTTGAAATGGCTAATGAACGAAATAGAAGGGGGAAAAGCACAAATGACAATGACAATGACAATAATAATGTCGGCGAAGGCAGTAGTGGTGCCGTTGGTCAAATTCCAAGTAGTCAAAGTGAATCAGCCGAAGATGTGGCCCATAATGTATAAACTTTTCTTGTTTGTATATTTGGTATGCTACTACAAAATAATGATACTTGAACTTCCTTACCTATATCTTTGTAAAATTTTCCTCTCAAGTTCATTATTATTATATATTTTAATATTATTTGCATATAAGAAAAGTCTCTAACAATGTGTAATTATTTAATTTTATTTCTTTAACTAGATTTTTCTAAAAAACAAAAAGGACTTTGAACAAAAACAGAATGGGAATCTTTTATAAAATAATTTTTATTCATATTTAAATTGTTTCATTTGATAATATTTTACAAAGTCTTCAAAATGTCATAGTAAATTAGGAAATAACTTAATAGCTGATGGCAATGATAGCGCACATACCTGGTAAAATTCATATTGAAACTATTATTTACCTTTATTTAGCCATTTTTCATTCGGAAGATGACTGAGCCTTTGCTAATCTTTCAGCAACCGTTTTCCAATTAACCACATTCCAAATGGCTTTCAAGTAGTCAGGTCTGACATTTTTATACTGCAAATAATAGGCCTAAAGTACAATGTTTTGTTATAAACAACCCGGCATCACAAAATTTATTACACGTCACTCTGGTTATATCGACATCTGGCTATAACAAACCTATATACTCAATATGAAAATGCCTCTGGTTAAACCGACATCTGGATATATCGGATAATTTCTTTATGTTTTTGAGGTGTCGTTATAATCAGAGTAACGTGTATTACAAAATATTTATACATACGTGTTCCCAGACATCAATGCCGAGTAGAGGTACATGTGCTAATATTTCAAAGAATTAAGAATTTGATGAATAAAGCAATTATGACTTAATATTTGAAAGGCTTACTTGTTAAAGGATCTTGGTTCGGAAGTGTCACAATTTCAATACGTTTATTATTTTTGTTATAACCCTATAAATTTAGAGTAATATTTTTGTTTATAAAAATAATGGTACTATAACTCTAAAATAATGGCATATAAAAATACTATGCGTACCAACCAACCCCAGCCCGATCCTATAAGATTGAATATTATTTAGTTATAAGTACATCGATATTATCATGTGATGATTTTGTAACTTCGTGACAAAAAATCACATGATCATTTCACACGAACAATAACAAATTTTTTGTTTAATACCTTGCACTGCAGCGGTTATTGTATTAAATTTGCTAATGAAATCATCAAGAGACCCAAATTCTTTCTGGATAGCGCTATGAAGAGCTCCTATAAAATTAAATGTCAAGCGCGTTTAATACTCATCGAATCAACTGATGTAAAAGTCTTCCAGTTGTCATACTTTGTTCATGGTAATAACATACCCTTAGGAGGCTCACCACCGCCCTCTTTAGTGGGCGCGAGATTTGTCCAAAATAAGGAATGATTAACATGACCTAAAAAAATTGTGATTTTAGTGAATTCACGTAGATAAAAACATAAAATATAAATCATAATTTCGATATTTTACCTCCACCATTAAATTTTAATGCCGATTGTAAAGCGATTTGTCCAGTAACATCTTGATCTCTAAGCGCTTGTTCAAACTTTTCTTCGGCCGTGTTAAGTCCATTAACATACGCTTGATGATGTTTACTATGATGAATTTGCATTATTTCGGCCGAGATATAAGGTTCAAGCGCCTTTTTTTACAATCGCAATCGATGTGCAAATAAGATAAAATTCGTTCAGATATGGGCATACTTTATTTTTTTTCAAGTTTTAAAATCATGACTTCACAAAGCCGATATTAACTAGTCAAGCTCTCAAGAGAATCCGACTTTAATAAAAAAGAAAAATTGCATATTTACACCATAGTCATACGGGAGATCCGGAAGTGTATACTTCGACCTCGAAATAATAAAACTAAGGCCGGCGCGATTCAGTAATTTAGCTGAGCCAGGAATCCGTGAGAATTTCGAAAACATTTGATCACGATTAATCAAAAAATCAAAAAATTTGAGATCTAATCTTATCTCTTTTCTTAATGATACACGTGACGATTAACCAATTAAATCGTAGTATAATTAAAATCCATCGTTCAAAATACTTAAAGTATCTCGGTTATTCTCGTAATGAATTAGAAATGAAAATATAGTATAAGGTGGCACCTCTCATGCATCAATTAAATTTATTAATGGTGTTACCTACACCATATCATATCCTATTCAAAACTATATACGTAGCAAACATTAATAAAGTACGTACAATTTTAATTTTTTACAAACTAATACGTAACATTTTGGTTATCACTTTTATGCCGCGTTAAGTTATGAGTCGCGAACGAGTTTCACAAACATTTTTTTGCTGATCATGAAACCCTGATGTGACTTACTTGGTATAAAATTATAAAATAAGACCAACGATCAGGACTCATTAATAGCAAAAGAACAATGTGAAATAAAATCAAAACAATCAGCCATACATTTATTAATGAGTGCAGCACAAAAGTAAAAGCCACTATGTATAAACTTTAATTAAATGGTTTATTTTATTTAATGTTCTTCAACTTTCGTTTCAGACTCGGCATCATACATATGAGTTTCAGGATTTTTTGAAACCCTGTGATGCCGCAAATCATTCATTTCGATATCGGATATGCGATGTATACGTACGTAGCACATTTTTAAACCTTATCGGGTATTTACTTGGTATTTTTTAATGTTTATCGTTATATTAAAAAAAAATATGCTAATCATATCCTTAATACATCAGGCTCTTATTATACGGATTTAAATACGATATGAATTAAGTGAAATTGTTTACTAATATATCTGGCTTCTGATTTCTTGGGATCGAACAAATTATAACACTTTAGCGAAATTTTAGTTTAGACTTTTAAATAGTAAGTGGTATATTTCAACCAGAATTATACCTAAATTTATGTCGCAATAAAAAACATTTGTCGTAACTAATTTTTTTTCGGATTTTTGATCGACACTAAGAACGGGTATTCGCAACATATTTATCGATGAATTCTTCGCCTTTACTGTTTTTTTTTTTCCTCTGGGAATGGTAAGTTAATTTATCGATAATTAGAGTTTCGTTCAATAACACTAAGAATAGGTAGTAAACGGATTTTTTTTATTTATCGATAACATTTGATTTAGTTTTAATAGTTATCCGCGAGGTTTCATCATTTTGCATTTGTACAACCTTAATTATTTTTTTATTATAGTTATTTATAAACACTATATCTACAATAAGTGAGGCCGTTGTCGTATAGTGGCAGTACATCGCGTTGTGGCCGCGCTAGCCCAGGTTCGATTCCTGGCAACGGCAGAAGCTTGATATAGATTCAAAAAATCTATATGGCAGTTTTTTTTTTTGCTTTTTTTTATACGTAATATATATACAGTACTGTATATATTTTTTATAATATATATTATATATTTGATATATATTATATATCAATATGTGTATATCGATATATATATTGTATAGTATAAATATTTATTTATTTAATCGTTATTTTATTTTATTTTTTTATTTATCCATTAACCAGGATTTCGATAAGTCGAACCAATCAGTGTATTACTGCTGCTTATACGTAATAAAATCCTCACAAGTAATTTATAAATAAAATTGTAAAAACAATCTGCAATTCTAACCGATATAATTTTGTTGGAATTTATGTGGATTTGGAATTCCTACGTACGTACCTAGTTAAATTAGGGAATTTATATATAAAACCCCCGTTTTGGGGTTGATTTTATCATACGTATCAGCACCCTAACCCTAACCCTTATTTAACTAGATTCCATTCTCATACGTAACATATGTATGATAAAATCAACCCAAAACGGGTAGTTTTATACAGTCCGGACTAACAAAGTCTTAAGATTATAGACCATAATAGACCAGACCAGACCTGGACCAAAAATAGACCAGACTGGACTGTTAGCATCCCTACTAAAATTGTTCGAATTCGACCACTGAACCTTGAGATTTCATAATTTATATCCAATTCGTCACGATACCCATTTTTGCCATAATGTCTTTATTATACTGTTCAAAGTTATCTCGAAATCCAGTGATTGAATTCGAACGAGTTTTTACCATTTGTAATGTCAAAGCATTCAAAGTTCGAATTGCTTGTATAATATATAGTCCTGATCATTATCATCCAAAAACAGCGTTATAGAAATTGATTTGTTGTCGATCCTTGAAATTTTATGGTCGCTGCAAAATTAAGTCTGGAACTGAGAAATTCATCGTGATCATTTACTGGTCGACACTCATACAATAAATCGTTAACGAATCGGATTATATTAAATTAAATTTGACAAGAGTATGTCATTGTACTAAGTTCCCGAAAATCACTTTCCCGAAACGTAATCCCGATAAAGTTAGTGGCATTAGTGATTTAGTTAGGAAATGGTTGCCGGAAAATAATACAGCAACTTATGAAAGTGACGTTTCATTGGCTTTTAATTCTTTTAAATTATATAATTAATAATTAATAGTTATGAAACGTTAAAGAAACCTTGTTCTACATTACTTGTCCTTGGCAAATTTAGCCGATATAATAATCTGATTCACATTATTTAAATAGGTTATTGTATGAGAAAGGACTAAATCAACCAGTTATGTTAATGCCAGCTAACTTTATCGGAGAACATAGCATATAATACGTATATATCTGATATAGTAACATATATGTTTATTTAATTGGCTACGTATTATAATTTTTAAAAATTAGAAAAATAACGGTATCAAAACATCAAAAGATATATTTATTTATTTTAATTATTAGATGAAATATTAATTTTGAAAATTTTTCAAAATAATAAAGTTAACCAATTAAATACTTGTAAATTATTCTAGAAAATATTTGGATTATAATACAGATTTTGACAATATTGCTATATTTGGTAAATACCAAACTAGGAAATTTACCCAAAGGTGCCAAGATACAGATACACATATACATAATTTTGCATTTTTATTGGCTAACATACATTTGTTCCAGTGGAAAAACCTTCCAGTGAAAATTTTTCACTGGATCCACTAGAACATCTGGAATTGTGGAGTTCCAGCTTCCAGTCAACAACACTGTGTATCAAACTACCACCAACTTTGCTTGTTATTATATCCATTTGAAGTACCATAATTCCCACCACCATAACCACTGCCGTAATTTCCACCACCATAAAAATAACTAATTAAATGCAAAAAAAAAAAAAGTCACTAGTGAAGTCAATTAGTAATAAAACGATTAAAAAGAAAGATTACTTACTCATTACCACCAGTTCCATAACTGCCTCTTTCACTATTACTACCAAATTTACGATAATCACGATTTTGACCGCGGCCTCTACCACGACCACTAGAGCCACGAGAACCATAATTTGATGTCTCTCTTGCAATAGTTTCCAACCAGGGAGGAATTTCTTGGTTAGCCTCTTTTAACAGTTCAATCAATTCTCTAACAATCCCTTTATTACCACGGTTAAAGAATGCCGTTGATATTCCAACGTTACCAGCGCGTCCAGTACGACCAATTCGATGTACATAGTCATCAATATCAGTGGGTAAATCATAATTGATGACGTGAGTGACATTAACAATATCCAACCCACGGGCGGCCACAGCAGTCGCCACCATGATAGGTGTACGACCCGTACGAAAAGATTCTAAAGCACGTTCACGTTCACGCTGTGATCGATCACCATGAATCGATGTAGCAGGAAAACCTGATTGAACAAGAAATTCTGATAACATATCAGCCATGCGCTTCGTTTCAACAAAGATTAATGTAAGTCCATGATCAGATTCTGGTTGGGCATGTAGGATATCTAATAACACCGATCGTTTATCATCATCTTCAACATATTCAATCTTTTGAGTAATGTTTTCACTTGTACTACCGACACGGCCAACACTTAAGAAAACATAATCCTTCAAAAAATCACGAGCCAGAACTTGAATGTCTCGAGGAAAAGTGGCGCTAAACATAAGCGTTTGTCGATCATTAACGTTAGGCATATCTACAGCAACAGAATTTAAATAATAAATAATAAATAAAAAATAGAATTTAAGAATTGATTTAAAAAAATTTTCAGTAATCAAATAAAACGCATTACCTTCATTTTCTACTATACGACGAATCTGAGGTTCAAATCCCATATCTAACATACGGTCAGCTTCATCAAGAACTAAATATCGTATTTGGGATAAACTTACGCGGCCACGTTCAATTAAATCCACAAGCCGTCCAGGAGTGGCAGTCAAAAGATCACATCCACGGTCAATTTGTCTTAATTGGGAAGAAATGTCAGCGCCACCATAAACAACACACGGTCTTACCCAAGAACGATAGGCGAATTTTCGTGCTTCATCATAAATTTGCATAGCTAATTCACGTGTCGGCGCAAGGACCAATGCAACTGGATAAGCTTTGCGACTACGATACATGCCACGGGAACCAGGTTGTTCTGATGGACCATGTTTAAAAAGCTCCGACAAAATGGGGAATAAAAAACCACCAGTTTTACCAGAACCCGTTTGTGCGCAAGCCATAAGATCACGACCAGATGATACGATCGGTATTGAATATTTTTGAACTGGAGTAGGAACAGAATAACGAGCCAATTCAATATTAGAGAGGAGATGTTCATCTAAAGGAGGATTCGTTAACTATACAATATATAGACAAAATAAACAATCAATTGAATGATATATATATTAAATAAACAATAAAATAATTAATTATTAATGCAAATTGTTTTTCTCTTTTTTTTTCATAAATACTATATCGTGTACACATACATTCAAGACACATTCTGGAACATTATTTCCACTAGCTTCAACAGGGATATC